CCAGACGAATCTGAACCACTGTGCTGCGGCGCAGGATCTCTTCCTGCAAGCCATGGCACAGTGGTCGATAGGTGTTGCCGTAGTCGCGGAGCCCTATTTTGTCCCTCCCCGTCCAACCTGGATGGGTGACCGGGACGGCTCCACGGCAGTCGTCGGCTCCACGGCGGCTCATTCACCGCCCTTGTCGCTAAGAGACAAGGGTACTGGATATGTTGCCGCCGATTGGGGGGGAATCACCATTTATGGTGTATATATCTCCCCCAACCGGAGTTTGAACGACTTCGAGGTCTTCCTTAACAACTTGGAGGCCTCGATGCGGCGACTAGTGTCTGGGCACGTCCTCGTGCTGGGTGACTTCAACGTAAAGTCCATTGCGTGGGGTTCCCCTGCGACGGACGCCAGGGCCGAAGCCGTCGAGGAGTGGGCGGCGTCGGTGGGCCCCTGTTTGCTGAACAGAGGCTCCACCAACACGTGCGTGTGACAGCAGGGGGAGTCGATAGTGGACCTTTCGTTCGCTACCCCTGCAGTCGCCGCACGAGTAAGGAACTTAGATGGCGTCTTGAGACGCAGGGCCATGTCGTGCGGTGTTCCGCAGGGGTCTGTCCTAGGACCGCTCCTGTGGAACATTGGGTACGACTGGGCCCTACGAGGGCGTCTCCCTTCCGGGCTGGGTGTAATCTGCTACGCGGGTGACATGGGCCCCATCGTGGTCCACCCGCCGGCGCCTCAATTGAGGTCGGCTCGGTCCTCGTACCGGTCCGGGCCCAGATGAGGTACCTGGGTCTGGTCCTAGACGGTAGGTGGCTCTTCGACGAGCACTTCAGACAGCCTGGCCCGAAGTTGGTGGACACTGCCTCCGCCCTAGGGCGACTTTTGCCCAACTTGGGCGGGGCCAGTGTTCCCACGAGGCGGCTGTACGCGGGGGTTGTCCGGTCCATGGCACTGTATGGTGCACCGGTGTGGGTGGCGGCTCTAACCGCCCCGAATAGGGCGCGCCTCTGGCGCCCCCAGAGGATATTGGCGGTCAGAGCCATACGCGGATACCGCACGGTGTCCACCGAGGCGGCTTGCGCCTTGGCCGGAACACCCCCGTGGGATTTGGAGGCGGAAGTGCTCGCCGAAGTGTATCGGCGAGTGACTGACTTCCGGGCGGAGAGCGGATTTCGCCCTCCGCCCAAAGACGTGCGCGAGTGGCGCGAAGCCGCTCGCCGAGCCACCACTGGCTTCGCCGCCGTGGAGGCTCTCCAGCCGGTCATCGCCGAGAGGGCAGGGCGGCAGCACGGGACCCTTACCTTCCGGCTGACGCAGGTGCTTTCCGGGCACGGTTGCTTCAGAAAGTACCTGTACTCAGTCGCTAGGAGGGAATCGAGTCCCGCCTGCCACCACTGCGACTGCAGTGAGGACTCGGCCCAGCACACGCTGGCGGTCTGCCCCGAATGGGCGATGCAGCGCCGGGCCCTTACTGCAGTCGTCGGAGCGGATCTCTCGCTACCGGCCGTAGTTCGCTCCATGGCCGGTAGCGACAGTGTTTTCACCGCGGTCGCAACCTTCTGCGAGGAGGTAACCGGCCCGGGAGGACGACCTCCACTCGGACCCGATCCGCCGCCGGCGAAGGCGCGCTTACGTGCGCCTCATGCCGCCCTGAGTGTGGCCGCGGGTGGACGGGATGGGTTTTCCCCTCCACCCGCATTAGTTTGGCCAGCCGCGAGGGGGCGGCGTCCGCGTGTGCCGGACGTCGCCTAAAGAGAGGAAATGTTGAGACGGAGCCCGCACCAGGAGCGGGCCGGCGCTGGGAGAGGTCCAAAAGGCGATAACTACCTGGACCCCCCCCCCCCCCCTAAAAATAGAAGCGCAAAGAGGGCACACCGTGTGGTTTTAGTCCGTCCGAGTCCGACACACCGCCCCGCCGAACAGAGAGCCCCGGCGGGGTGACGGTCCGAGGGGATTTCCAAACGTGTAAAAAAAAAAAAAAAGGGCGACTTTTACCCAATCTTGGTGGACCCAGCGTCGCGACAAGACGATCGTACACGGGGGTTGTACGGTCGATTGCATTGTACGGTGCACCGGTATGGGCAGCAGCTCTGACCGCCCAGAATAGGGCACCCCTTTGGCGCCCTCAGAGGGTATTGGCGGTTAGAGCCATTCGCTGTTACCGCACCGTTTTGACGGAGGTGGCTTGTGCGTTGGCCGGAACTCCCCCGTGGGATTTGGAGGCGGAAGTGCTCGCCGAAGTATATCGGCGGACGGCTGATTTCCGAGCGGGTAGTGTCAGTCAGCCCCCGCCCGAAGAGATACGCGAGTGGCGTGAGGCCGCTCGCCGAGCCACGATGAGTCGTTGGTCGTCCCGGCTGGAGGTTCCACGTGCTGGCTTTGCCGCCGTGGAGGCGCTCCAGCCGGTTATCGTCGAATGGGCAGGGCGGCAGTATGGGACCCTTTCCTTGCGACTGACGCAGGTCCTTTCCGGGCACGGCTGCTTCGGGAAGTACCTGCACTCGGTCGCTAGGAGGGAATTGAGTCCCGCCTGTTACCACTGCTATTGCAATGAGGACTCGGCTGAGCACACGCTGGCAAATTGCCCGGTTTGGGCGTTGCAGCGCCGGGTCCTCATTGCAGTCATCGGAAGGGAACTCTCGCTACCGGCCGTCATACGCTCCATGGCCGGTAGTGACAGATGCTTTACCGCGTTCGCATCCTTCTGCAAAGACGTCATCTTGCAGGAGGCGGCGGAGAGGGCCCGGGAGGACAACCTCCACTCGGACCTTATCCGTCGCCGGCGAACCGAATAGCGGAGGCGCGCTTACTACCGCCTCATGCCGCCCTGAGTGTGGCCGCGGGTGGACGGCACGGGTTTTCCCCTCCATCCGCCATAACGGCTAGCCGCAAGGAGGCTACGCCCGAGTGTGCCGGACGTCGCCTAAATAGAGAATGTATGCCAGATAACAAATACGTTAACTGCATCTACAGTGTGATGTTTTGTTTGTACGTAATCTAAATATGTAGTACTCGTACTGTTCGATGTTAATTTAACTCTATGTATCGTAAAAAGTTATTTTCGACGCGGAAAATATCGTGGACGTCAGTTAGTTTTTCCTGGTTTCTTACACCAGAGTGTTATGTTTTACGAGTATACGTGTGTATATTTATTTGGCACTCTCTGTAGCTTAAACGGCTTGACGGATTTCGAGGTTAGATTCGTCTTAATTGTCTTAATTGTGACACTGGATTTATGAAATTATGAAAAAGTCAAATAGTGGATTTTTGGCGCCAAATCGAGTGGAGTACCTAAATAAATGAATTCACAAATGTCTTGTAAAACATATACATACCTTTTATTATATATTTAGATGTAAATTGGAATGAGAAATGCTAAAAATATATAAAATAAAACTAAGTTTCTTCATATTATATATCGTGATATTTCATATCTAAGTATACTATTTTTGTTTTTTTTTCCTATAATATAACAGAATAGTATTATGAGTGTTATTTTACTAATTAAGTATGTGTATCTGTAATTATGTTGTTTTCCTCATAATGATACCTTATCTACATAAAGCATTGTCCTATTTTAATAATCTTCTATACAAATAAATAAAATTGGAGTGTCTGTTTGTAATATAAAATGACCGCTTTTTACTAAATGCATATGTATTTTTATACGGTACATATGCCAAAATAACATTTTTTACAATTGTTGTCTGTCTGTCTGTCTGTCTGTTTGTTCCGGGTAATCTCTGGAACGGCTGGACCGATTTCGACGGGTCTTTCACTGGCAGATAGCTGATGACATAAGGAGTAACTTAGGCTACTTTTTTTAGACTAGCTTCGCCCCGCGGCGTTGCCCGCGGTTATAACACCAAACGCCGGTCTCAGCTAGTTATATAATATATATATAATCTCTGTAGGTAATAGGTACACAACTATTCATTTTAGCTCAAAGCTAAAATGAATAGTTGTGTACCTACCTATTAATATTAAGCCAGGCGATCTGTGTGAAAGGTTTGCCTGTCTGGGTCATACTCAGAAAAAATGTACATTTGGCACTTTTTTTTGTCCCACTACTTTAATAGCAGATTTAAAATTTGAATATTATGGCACATATTTTTAATCGTGTTTACATCTATGTTTAGTCTTTAAAAGTTTTTTTTTTTTATAAATAATATAATATTTTCTTCAAATCATAGTATAAATAGCATTGGGATTTTTTTTATAAAATATCTTCCACACAATTTTTTAATGTCCCAATAATGATTTTTCTTAATAAAGGAGTAATTGTTACGACTATTAGTCGACTTACATGAGATTGACTGTAGTCATTTAGGTCTTTTTTAGTCCATCATTTAAATAGTAATACGATTTATTGTTTAGAACGTTTAATAAAATTATTAAAATTCATATTAATATTGTCCCAAAATTATTACATTTCGTTACTCAGTGTTAGTTACGTGCGTATTATTCTGAACGCAGATGTTCAAAACTGACGGGAAATAATTTTCCTAGTATTGACAACATTGCTGCTTTTTATAATTCACCGTACATACAGAGGTCATTTTGTTTTCATCCGTACACGGGAGTCATTGTGTTGAATTACTGTCCCAGCTTTCTGGAGAATTTAAGATGAACAAGAGTGCAAGTCACTGAAACAAGGGCTTATCGTAGAAGGAGACGCATAAACATTCCCCCGGGTAAAAGTATTACAGCTGCAGATTTAGTAGAGGAAGAAACAACAGGTCGAGATATCATTTTGTCTCCTCTTCTTTCGGATTCTGATCAATCTTCAGAATTTGTTATTAAGGCATCGGGAACATCAAGGAACATCGAGAATGTAGATTCCAACCAGGAGACAGAAATAGTAGCCCCTACTACCTCCCCATCATCTACTCAACGCGAAATAGAAAGTATAAATGGGACTATCCTCTCATCTTTAATCCAAACGGATCAGTCAATGGCAGATACAAAATATGGGGAGCAATCTCATGGCACTTTGACAGCAGTAAGAAATGTCGAGCCGCAACCAGGTACATCTTTTGGGGGACCACGAAAACCTAAACCTAATAAATGTCTGCCGAGACTTAAAAAAATCAGCGAAAGGACCTGCTAAATTAAAAGGCAAACATGTTGTTAAATCGAAGAAAAAGAAAATATATGTAGGTTCAGACGATGACAGTACAAGTGCGTCGTCAAATATATCATTCCAAGAAAGTGACTGCAGTACTAACTGGTGCGATTTAAATGACGAAGAGGTACAGGGAGAAAATGAGAAAGAAAATAATAGCAGCATAGTGAACAGTTTGAAAGAAAATCAGGAAGACAGTAACAAATCATTAAATGTTGAGGAAGGGAGTAACGTTCTTGTTAAATATGATGGAAACGTTTATCCTGGAAAAATATTAAGAAAGTTACCTGAATCGGCTCTTGTGTCTGCCATGCAAAAAGCTGGGCATAACATATGGAAATGGCCCTCCAAGCCTGATATAATTTGGTGCAACAACTCAGAGATAATACAGGCAATAAACGAACCAGTCCTGATATCAAAAAGAGGTTTGTACAGAATTACCGAATTGGTAGAGTTAGAATAGGTAATTTATTTCTACCAAAAAAATTCTTTTCCTATGGCAACACATATTTATTATGTTTAATAGGGCACTAGATGCGCCCCAGGGACTTCCTTTCTAGGGTATACCTGGTTCCCCGGCTATTAGTACCCGAGACGGCGTGCGGTTTTAGTCGGTTCGAGTCCGACATACCACCGATAGGTGGTATCCGAGGGGATTTCCGTACGGAAAAAAAAGAAAAAAAAAAGGGCACGATGCACATTTTTTGATTAGCTATAGGTGACATTGTGCAATTCCTACTGTTATAAGAGATATAAAGAGAAATGCAGCGTGGCACATTTTCACCCCAAATAAGCAGGTGAGAATGTGCCAACAATATTATGTTTTCTTAGACTAAGTATTAATGTTTCTTAATATTTGTTATTTAGAACTCCTAAATAAATATATTACCTAAATGGTTTTATTTATTACTACTGAAATACCTGTATTTATTTTTGTTAGAATGAAAAAAACCTCTAAATGTGGCACATAGTCACCCCGAACGACGGTAGTAGTACATAATTTTAATCTATCCCTATGTCTCGTGTTAGCTGGCGTTTGCAATGAAAGCACACAAAAATATGTTTTTTACGACTTCGTATTATAAATCTTTGAAAGCCTCAGATTTCCTGTACTATAATATGCATGTATTATATATAAAGTCTTTCTATTGGTGAAAACCGCATTAAAATCCGTTGTGTAGTTCGAAAGATCTAAACGTACAAGAAAAAAAGCGACTTCTTTATACTACGTAAAGATAAACATCATTTATTGGAAAACGAAAGGTTATAGGTACAGGGAGATACGGTGTAATTACACCGTGTCTCTCTGTACCTTTAACTTTTCTGGTCTTCGTGGTCAAAGGTTCCATCCCGGTGAAGAAGCAGTCGACGCTTTCAAGTCAGCCATTTTGAACACCCCCACTTTAGAGTGGAATAAATGTTATAATAACTGGTTTGAGCGAATGGAAAAGTGTATTAAGCTACGTAGTGAATACTTTAAAAAATAATAAAAAGTACTATATGGTTCTAGTTGTGTTTTTTCTTCAAACAAAAAAACTTAAAAGGCATGCCTCGTATCATATATATTTCATTAAACAATTAACAGGATACACCGTTTATTTAACGCCATAATCAGACCAATTTATTAGAGACTTTCCGTACAATATATTTTATAACAAGTTCACCGTTCGTATAAACAAGCGTCTAACATGTTGCTCCACTTAGCTACTCTAACATTAATTTTATTGAATGAAGTGAAAAGTGATTTTATTAGTGAGGGCACATGGAAGGATATGAAAAACGCTTCCATAGACAACCCAGAAGAATACTGCAAGAACAAGAATTGCATAGTGAAGTGTTGTCCAGATGGCCATGTTATAAAAATAAGATTCGGCAATTTTTTATGTCATCCTTTAAGGATAGATTACTCTGAGTTTAACAAAAACATTACATGGGATGATTCGTTGCGTAAAACAAATGTATCTTACTTTCACTTTATACAAAACGACCGATTCTCGGATCTAAACCCAGAATTGTCATTTAAATTTGAGTTGTTAAAGGTAAGTTTTTGAATTAAATTGATAATAATTAAAAAATATTTCTTAGTCTTATTACCTACTGCCCATCTGAAGACAAAGATGAATAAAAAAAAAATCTGCCACGTGTTATACAACGTTATCGGCCAACGAGGTGTGCGTAGCCCCAGCGGAAAAAGTTCGAATTTCATTGTTTGAGTTTAATAGATATTTAGTGTATGACGTCGTGTAGTTGTGTATGGTAAGTAAATATTTGTGCATCCAGCCATTGCGGAGTTATTCACGAAATTCTGTTTCCGATTATATCGATTTCTTTCGGCTGTCGTCGCGTGCGTGTTTTTCTCACAAATCATCAATCTAGATTTTTCTTTTCCTCTTCTGTGTTTTATGACTTTTTTTTCTTCTAATGCAATAGCTAGCAATATTACGTCAACTTCAACTATTTAAAAAAATTAGGACTCGGTCAACACGGTAGGAATTAAATTATTTGTTAAATTAGTATAGTGAACCAATAATAAGAAGATAATAATATAATAATAATAATAATATATTCTACCACATACACACAACGCCATCTAGTCCCAAATAAGCAGTGCTTGTACTATGGGCACTAGACAACTGATATAAATACATATATACTTTTTTTTTGTAAATACATACATATTATACATAGAAACACCCAGACCAAATCAAACATCAAATGTTCATGCACACAAATGTTTGACTTGAGCGGGAATCGAACCCGCGACCTTTGGAATAGCAGTCCGTTACACAAACCACTACGCCATCCAGTAACAAGAAGAAGAAGATAAGGTAAGATTATTCTAATATATTACCTATTCACTTACTAGGCATGGGAAATACAGTTATAAAAATATAACATTTTCACAGTAAAGTTAGATTTTTATTCACAGTTATTATCGGTAGTGAAAAAGCATGATAGTTACATTTATCGAGGAAGATACAAATAACAATTACGTCAGTTTTTCATTTGTTTGTATATTAATATATAGCATGATATTGTCATCGCCCGTCATAAATTTGTTAATTTTTTTTTTGCATTTATTTTTCTTAATAAAACTTTGGCTTTGGCCACTATTGCTCTTGAGGAAGACTGATTCCGTCCTGCGTTTTCTGCTTAGACGAGTTTTTTCTAGATTCTTACATTTTCAGATACCCTATATATTTACCTACTTATAAATCTATGCCTAATATTTACATCTATAAGAGTAATTATTTCCTGAAGTTTTTCATAAAAGACATAAATAAACCAATTTAAACCTGTACTTTGTGTACGCAAGTGCATAAAATTACTATATACTATACTGTAAATTTTAGAATCTTACCTGAACATACTGCACCGCCGCTTTTTTGTAGCCATCCGAACTCGGTCGAGTTATGTACGAATTGCGATGGTTGTCAGTATTTTACTTGTATTTTGTTAATTATTGAGTGTAGAGAAATGAAATTTTCCGTGTAGTGCATAGTTGAATTAATGCACTAATTATTGGAATAGGTTTTATTACGCTTTTCCTTTAAAATCTCGTGTAATAAGATTGCATATGAAACAGTGGTCAAGTCATAGTAAATTATCCCATGGCTCATTCATTACTATACTAATGATACTTGGTAAGACGTTGTAGATGCTGACAAGGTATGTATAAACTAGTTGTAACGCTAAGTACTTTTCTTTTTTTTTTTGCGGAAATCCCCTCGGATACCACCTACCGGTGGCTATGTCGGACTCAAACCGACTAAAAACCGCACGCCGTCTCGGGTACCAGTAGCCGGTTAACCAGGTGTACCCTAGAAAGGAAATCCCTGGTACCCTGACGTACCCCGGGGCATCTACAGCGGGTAGATGACCCTCTCCTGTGTGGGAACCCCCATGTTCCCTTGGTGCTCCTCTGTCCCCTTTTGGGCACACGCGCTCCTCAGCGCGTCTCGCCGACACCCCGGCCTGCTTCTGGTAGGGTGACAGATGGCCTCACCTGTCAGGGCCCAGGCCTGCACGATGGCGGCTTCCAAGAGGAACTCCCGATCTAAGCGCTTGAGCGCCCAACGTGGCTCAGGTGGAGCCGATCTGACTGGCACGTCGTTCGTAGGAGCGGAGACGTCAAACCGAATATATCGGTGATCTTTTTTTTTTTTTTCTTTTAAAAAAAGGCAACTCCCGCATTAGGAATATATCCTGTGTCGCGGGGGACTTTACAAACATACATGAAACGGACACAAAGAACACCCAGACTCAGAACAACAATTTGTGGATCACACAAAGTATCGTCCCATGTGGGGTTTGAACCCACAACACTCGGCGCATTGGGAAGCGGCGTGGCGACCGCTTAAACCACTACGCCATCCGTGCAGTCCATCCGCCATCTGAACCTGTCTTCTCCCCAACCACGACGCGCCAGCCCTGGACACGACGCGCTAGCGAGGGGCATGCGAACGAGATGCCACGATCAAACTACCCCTCGCCGTTACGAATGTGGCCATGGCCCCCCGGTTTAGGAGCACTAGCCCAAATCTTTCAGCCCAGTTCTCCGATGCCCTGCCCCTCGGATTCGTGCGCCGGAAACCCCAGGTCTCCGACCAGGCAGTAAAGTCCCCTAGCACAAGAATTGGGTGGGGACGCAGGCATCAACGACGACGGCCAGCTGAGCGAGCCATTGCTCGTACTCAGCTATGTCTCGGTTTGGCGTGAAATAAGCGGCCACTACCGCTATATTCCCAACCACCGCCGCCACGCAACCCCGTCCATCGGGGGCATCCCGCTGCGAACTTTGCCGCTCTTTAGTGGCATTCGCCGCCTGCACCGGCGGCCCGATGACGGAAGGCCGGCCTCCCCGCTGGGGTTTCCTGTTCGGCGGGGCGGAGTAAACCACACGGTGTGCCCTCTTTGCGCTTCTAGTTTAGAGGGGGTAGTTAGGTAGTTATCGCCTTCTGGACCCCTCCCCGCGCCGGCCCGTTCCTGGGGCGGGCTCCGTCTCGGATTATCCTCTTTTTAGGCGACGTCACACACGGACGCCGCCCCCTTGCGGCTGGCCAAACTAATGCGGGTGGAGGGGAAAACCCTTCCCGTCCACCCGCGGCCACACGCAGGGCGGCGTGTGGCATGAGGCGCAGGTGAGCGCGCCTCCGCCGCCCGGTTCGCCGGCGGCGGATCGGGTCCGAGTGGAGATCGTCCTCCCGGGCCTTCTCTGCCGCCTCCTTCTGCGAGATTACTTCCTCGCAGAAGGTTGCGACCGCGGTAAAACAACTGTCGCTACCGGCCATGGAGCGTACTACGGCCGGTAGCGAGAGATCCACTCCGATGACTGCAGTGAGGGCCCGGCGCTGCGTTGCCCATGCGGGGCAGACCGCCAGCGTGTGCTGGGCCGAGTCCTCACTGCAGTCGCAGTGGTGGCAGGCGGGACTTAATTCCCTCCTGGCGACCGAGTGCAGGTACTTTCCGAAGCAACCGTGCCCGGAAAGCACGGAAGCCACCGGCCCTGTTCGTTGAGGATTACGGCTGGGCCGGACGGGGTCTGCACCAGACCGGGTCCGTCCGCCCCAGGATTTTTTATAGAGGTTACCTTCCTCGTAGCTCTCGAAGAGCCGTCATTCCTGACTGTTGCCAGTCAGGCTTACGACTTGACCGGATGGTGGTCTGCACCAGACCAGTGTCCACCACCTCTTGACAAATCCAGCGGCAGAGAACCCCCTAGCTTGCTCTCCACTATGCCTTCCGCCAATCACAGGGGGCACGCGGAAGGCCGAACAACCTTCGGGCGGGTCGTTCCCACCTCGGCCGGAATTGGCCGTAGGCGGCAGAGCCTCCCCCACCTAGGGAGAGACGGCGCTGCCGTCTTCGTTGCCCAGGGTGCACCACACGGTGGTTCCAGACCCCGCACCCCACTAAGTACTAGGACCTAATAACCTTATTTTACGTTTATATTTATTTCTTCTGACTGGTATGTTTATTAAATCCGTTTTTACAAACAGTATAAAATTTTTACTTACCATACACATTTACACGACGTTTACATTTACACTAAATATCTGTTAAACACAAATAATGAAATTCGAACTTTTTCCGCTGGGGCAACGCACACGCCAGCGAGTGCCAGAATCTAACTGCTTGTGTTGTAGTAATTTAACCAATGGTGGGTATTTGTTATGCGTATAATAATAGTCCAATTACAACTACAAAAATGACGTAAACAAAATCCTACGTTAATTAATGACACTGTTCGATACAAAAACAGCTGTATAGCATTTGTAAAAAAAAGAAATATTTTTTTTTATATTTTATTTCTTGTTCATTAAAAATATGAAAACAAAGAAAATAATTTAATTAAACTTTATGACGTGATCTTATTAAATATGAATTAAAGAAGGGCTCTAAGAAACAAAAAAAATGATCAATTATTTAAACTTTTATGTAGACTTTTGTAAGAACAGAGATTGGATAAAAGTTTGTTACTTAAGACTATATTTAAGCTAACAATTTCAGTTTTCGATTGCAGTTGTCTTCTTTGATCGGTCTAATTTTTTGTCCGTGTGATTAATTACTGTTAATTTTTTACAGAATGGGTCAATGATGGTGGATGGATCTGTCAAAGAGAGATTGTCATTCTGTGTGGACTTCCTTTCATGGAAAAGAAACACCAAACATAAGCTTGTTTTTCAATTGAACCCAGAGCCCGAACAAGATGAGGATGCTAAAAATCTGTTCAATGTCGCAGGTGCGTAAAGAAAATGAACATAAAGAGAACAATTGTATTATTTACCATGACGGTTCCACAGAGATTCAACCGCGAAAATAATTATAATTTACTCGTAGCGACATGATAAGTAACGTTTCTCATAAGACTGGCCACCTAAGCTCCTGGACTCCTCGGCCCCGTTGCCTGCGGTGCCACTCATCTGCTTGCCGAGGTCACGAGACTCGGATAGGACCTTTTCTTTCGTCCCACGAGGCCTATCCGTGAAGGTTGGATTACTTCACGCTTTACGATCCCAGCGTAGAAATCTATTCTGGCGCTGCAACGGTATTTCAGGGTATCCGGCTTTTTGTTCCATCCTCATTTATTCCGATCCCCAAAGAAGATAATGCCTTCTCGAAGATAATGCATGTCAAGCGTTGTGTATCTAATTCATCGGTGGGTACAGGAAATCGCAACCAAAAGAAGAGCATGTGCTAAAAATTTAGACAATGTGAAGGACTTCGATACATAGCGCTTCTCTGGCAGCTTTCTTCCTAAGGGCTTACCGAGACTCTGTTCAAATGATTCCAACATTTTCATCGAAATCCTTGGCGAAGATATATCGAGTGAAGTCCAGTTATGTGGTCAGCTAAGAATAAAGTTAAATAAACCACGGAGAAGCTTGGTGATCTGAACATACTGAAACAGTATTTTACCACGGCCTACTTAATAAGGCACTGATTCGACCGCATATCAAATACTGCTCTCATCCCTACCACCTCTGGACCGCATTCAATAGAGAGCGACTCGAATCGTTGATTACCAAAATGTTTCCAACCGGCTCTTGATCCCTAGGCGTTACGTAGAGATGGAGCGTTACTCTGCATTCTATATCGCTTATAATAAAATTGGCAGTTTTAGTTTTAAGTTGGCAAAAACAAATAAATCATTTCCTCAAAAAACGTAATAAATTTTACTGCTACTCGATGGCATCTCAATAGCGTGTCAGTGGTATGACACTGGCTTGGCGTAAACATAAAATAGCAGAATTGAGGCCCTGCTCGTTTGCCACCTATGTCCAAAATCTAATAATATTGATTGTTATACGTCATCATCATGGCACCAGATTCTCAATGATGAACTTTAATAACTTTACTAGAAGTAATATGTTTCGTGGGTATTTTAAACTAATTCTTCTATTCTATGACTTTCAGGAATGCTGATATCATCGTTTTTCATGTGTCTGGTGTTGGTGGTGTACGCCTTACTACCAAATCTACAAAACATAGCAGGCAAGGTGCTGATGGCATACTTGTTTTCGCTGAGTGTCGGTTATATATTAAGAGCTCTGCAAATTCTAGATTTTGTATCGACTTTAACCGTTTCGTTTTCATGTTCCGAGTTAAGTAAGTTCCTTTAAAACTTATACATACTTAATCACTTTCCTAACTATCGTCGACGTCATTTATCTGCGCATTTTCTAATATAACATTACACACTACATTGAGTTCGCCGCAATGTGTAAAGTTGCAAAGAGTTTTGGCTATTATTATTTTTATGGCCTATAGCTGGTTTTAAGCCAAATCATTTTGAAACAAGTTGTTTTTAGTTTACAAGATATGAAACTAAATTAGAATAAGAAAAGTGGATAAGGTAAGGGAGCTATGGCAATGGATATCACTGGGCTCGAATGAGTAAACGGGATGGAGACTTCAATAGCTTAAAAATGTCGCCCTTATGTTCTTGATTTTATTGGAAAAGCTACTGTTTGTTTGTAAATTGCGTGATTAAGCAGATGTGTCATTTAATAGAGGCATTTTGCCCTGCCAATGTCTCTTTTAACCGACATATATAAACAAGTAGATAACATGCATATTGTGACATGCGACTGCTTGTTTAATAGTTAGCGATCCTTTTTTTCCTTATTTTAAAATATAACTCCCGAATTAGGAAAAAACCTGTGTCGCGGGGGTCTTTACAAACATGCATGATACGGACACAAAGAACACCCCGACTCAGAACAACAATTTTTGGATCTTACAAAGTGGCGTCACATGTGGGGATCAAACCCACAAAACTCAGTGTAGTAGTAGCACTACGCCATCCGTACAGATCCTGACTGCTGATTCAGATGTCGTGGATTCACCGTTCACCAAACCCCATGACAAGTAATTTATCCAGGACACACCACCAAGACAAATAATTTGTCTATGATAGGTATTAATTTAGAAATAATTAAGTATGTTTATCAGTCGTCAATTTTTCATAGTATTCTGTATATATATATATATATATATCTCTGTCTATTATATATTTATTTCTACTTATTAAGAATAAATAATTTTTATTAATCAAATGGTTACCTGGATTATATTCTAAATTGTAATAAGTCGCTAATAATATTATATACATTTAAGCTAGTAGGTAAGTAAATATTAGTAGAACATTAAAACCTATTGTTTCGTATACAATAGGAGTGCGTCTATCTATTTGCTTTCATAAGTTATTAATAGGTAGTGCTACGTTTTAAAATAATTAGATTCATTGATCCATTGGTACATATTTAGCTGTTTTCGTAAATGCGTAAATCGCGCTAGAAAGCTGACACAAAAATAGAATATGAATATTTTCGTTTTTTTTTTATTATTGAAAAGCCGAGTGCTAAAGTTAGTGTCAAATATGCAAAAATAAGTTAATTAATTTGTTACGTTTACACACCTTATCTACATACCAGTCAGGGGGACAGAAAAAGATCTATCTTTCATCCTTTACTGTGCTGTACTGTACTCTACTGAAATGTACTGTACTATTCGTGAGATACTGAGATAAACCGAAATATTGTATTTTATTGTTGACATCTGGCGAGTTGAAATCGATACTACAGGCAATACAAAATGTTTACCTCGAGGCCAATAAATTCGGAGCCAGCTTCTACTTATCTAACTACTATATGTATAATAATGATCCGTGTCGTGACGGATTAAGAATACGGAATGTCACCACCCCGATTCATCTCATGGGTGTCGTAAGAGCCGACTAAGGGAGCAAACTTTCTAGGATAACAGCATTGCAAAGAGAAGGAAAACTTGAAACAAACCTTATTTACTAACCCGTCTGGCCAAGGTATACCACGTTGGCCAGACGGGTTAGTAATAAATAAGGCCAAACCCAATGTCCAGCAGTAGACTATTAAAGGCTGTTGATGTGATGTACACATATTAAATTTTACGTTTGACTTTGAGTACAGAATCAAGATTAAATTATTATTTTACCTGTTATACACCACAACAAATGTTAAAATCTTTATCCTCAAAATTCCCGGCGTTCTAACGCAACTTAATTAGTTTCACATAACTAACCATGTAAATAATCTTGGTAGTCAATATTAACCTACTTCTAAACTGACTTAAATTTTTTGTATGAAAATATACGTAGTACGCCAAAACCTCCTTTCTAAGGAGAGGCCTATATGTATATGGTTTTTTTTTTTGTGTGGTGGATTTATTTCAAACTCCTCGAATTTTCTTCTGATTAATTTCGTTGTGGGTTCCAAGACATTTTATTTTTTTCCCGGGACTTCCCGAATTTCATAACTCGGTGTGTGGGTCACTGCTGTTGATCCTGATGTACAGGAGTTACAGTGGTGGGCGTGTGGGAGAGATTACTCCCATGAAATGTAGTTTATAATAATAATAATAAATTTACCGTAGACGAGCTACGTAACTTTGCAGTGTGCGTGCAGGTATGGGCCTGCTCTATCGAAGTGATACACGGCCTTACAGAACATCGGTGTTAAACAATTTCGTCGATACTTTTCATTGAGTGAGTGAAGTTACCGGAGAAACAATTTCCCGTCTACTCCTCCCCTAATTCAATATATTTGTAGTTTATTACAATACTATAGTATATAAACTATACCATACAGAAGTAATTCGTTATACCACGTTTACAATATTTTACGTTTATATGTAGAAGTACATGCAAATCGAGTATATATTTTGATCCATCATAAAATAAAGTCTATACAATGACAGTTCAAGTTCTAGGGGTCAATTAAATAAAACAAACAAATAAAAAGACGTGTGGCACTCGAGGACTGCCGTGGTAAAGCTATTGCATAGCATTTTGTATCAACTTATGCAATTATAATTATTTATTTATTTTATTTATGCAGTATTTCTTTTTCTTTGATATTACTTCAAGTTACACTTTTTGAGCGTGGTGACCGATAAGAAAACAATTTTTTGTCTTTTATTAAATAAAAATATTGAAGCATATATTACAATTTGTTTTTAAATAAATAAATAAAAAATATTATTATTAAATCAAATTACATATCCATGTAAGATTTTTCTGCATTATGTTGACGAAATTTCCTTTGACGTTCAGCATTTGATTTCGGTACTGTTTTTTGTTTTGTTTTTAGCGTGAGGTTTTTTTTCGTTACGGAATTTCTGGATTCGGTCCCCGCGCTCAAGGCCCTCGATAAAAGCTATGCAATAGCTTAAAACAAAACAAATAAAAAGACGTGTGGCACTCGAGGACTACCGTGGTAAAGCTATTGCATAGCATTTTGTATCAACTTATGCAATTATAATTATTTATTTATTTTATTTATGCAGTATTTCTTTTTCTTTGATATTACTTCAAGTTACACTTTTTGAGCGTGGTGACCGATAAGAAAACAATTTTTTGTCTTTTATTAAATAAAAATATTGAAGCATATATTACAATTTGTTTTTAAATAAATAAATAAAAAATATTATTATTAAATCAAATTACATATCCATGTAAGATTTTTCTGCATTATGTTGACGAAATTTCCTTTGACGTTCAGCATTTGATTTCGGTACTGTTTTTTGTTTTGTTTTTAGCGTGAGGTTTTTTTTCGTTACGGAATTTCTGGATTCGGTCCCCGCGCTCAAGGCCCTCGATAAAAGCTATGCAATAGCTTAAAACAAAACAAAAAAAAAGACGTGTGGCACTCGGGGACTGCCGCGGTAAAGCTATTATAAGCTATTATTATTATTTATTGCATAGCATTTTGTATCAACTTATGCAATTATAATTATTTATTTATTTTATTTATGCAGTATTTCTTTTTCTTTGATATTAATTCAAGTTACACTTTTTGAGCGTGGTGACCGATAAGAAAACAATTTTTTTTCTTTTGTTAAATAAAAATATTGAAGCATATATTACAATTTGTTTTTAAATAAATAAATAAAAAATATTATTATTAAATCAAATTACATATCCATGTAAGATTTTTCTGCATTATGTTGACGAAATTTCCTTTGACGTTCAGCATTTGATTTTGGTACTGTTTTTTGTTTTGTTTTTAGCGTGAGGTTTTTTTTCGTTACGGAATTTCTGGATTCGGTCCCCGCGCTCAAGGCCCTCGATAGAAGCTATGCAATAGCTTAATAAAAATTTTGCAACAGAAAGGCAAAATTATATCCTGTTATTTAGGTGTAAACGATAGGTCCCATTTGCTATTTTCATTGAATCCTATGTTGCAAATGCATTTGTACTATTCCAAAGAAAAGTGATTTACCTTTATCAATTATGAAAAATGTAAAATCAAAAAAAACTGTACATACATTGAAGTGTCAGTAATCCTTTGCATTTATCTTTACGGTGATGGTTAATGCATCACTATATAGAAGTTTTATTTATATTTCATAATAAAAATATCTCCATTTTCATAAATTTATGAGCGTTATATAAAAGAACTGTACCACCTCTTCTGTTGCTAAGTTTACTGCTGTTATTAAGATATCCGGACCCCTCCTGAACCGGGGCACCTGCCCCGGGCGGTAATTTATATATGTATATAAAATAATAGTATGATTAAAAATAAAAAACTTGCTCCACAAAGCGCCTAGCATACGGAAGCCTGGTTGGGTCACTGTCGACTTGTAAAAAAACCGGTCAGGTACGAGTCGAACTCGTGCGCCGAGGGTTCCGTACCTACCCAGATTTTACGTAGATTTTCGCCATGTACCAAAATGTATCTTAATTTTCAACTTTTTTATTTTTGGAAATATCCCTTTATTTGTGCTGTAAGACGTTTCTTTTTACCAAATTTCGTGATTCTAGGTCAACGGGAACTGCCATTTAGGTTTTCGACCCAAAACCTATAGGGTATTTCCGGTTGACCTAGAATTGTCAATTTTAGTTAAAAACAGGGTTTTACAGTACAAGTAAACTGTCAAAGTGTCAACAGATGAACAACAAAATTCACTAGCTTTTATTCACGAGTGTTGCCATCTTCGTGTTGAGGTCGGAAACTTTTCAGACCACCTGTGTAGGTACATTATTTTAATGTTGAAATTTTCAATGTTTGAAGTTGTGGGACGTGCACTCGTTCACGCTTAACTGTTTTATGTGTACTTGTGTATGTTTCTGTATGTGTGTTAAGTGAGTGTGACTGTGAATTAATGTGTATGTAGAAGGGATAAGTGTTGTTAGATATTAATGTGTCGAATTTTTTGTTTTGTTTTTTAAACTTAGTTTTGTTTATATTGTATGAGAAAGCAATGCTTCGGTTTGGACATAGTGTATATTCTTCTTAGCTTCATAAATAGATATGGGCCGATAGTCTGTGAACTAAGAACTTCACTCTCTGAACTAAACTAAACTAGATGAACAAACAATATAAATTTTTTTGTAATTGTAAGTCCTACGTTTAATAAATTAAAGTTTATTTTTCATTACAGGTCCAGCGTTCTACTATTTCTTATTATCCAGTTTCTTTTGGCTTAATATTATGTCATTTGACTTATTTTGGACTCTTAGGTAATTATTCAATTAATAATGGATCACTTAAATATTTCTACAAGATAAAATGTAAAGGTACTTAAAATTTACAAATAGACGATTTTAATTATTATAATTTTGATATACCCAGTGTCACACCCACAATTAAGACGAATCTAATACTAACAGATATTATTCAAGCTGTTACGCTACAGAGTGTGCCAAAAAAATAATAAATTATTGTTTATATAATATTATATTACATACTATTACATAATTTCTTTTTCCTTTTTTAGTCAATAATGATGATCATTATCTTATTAAGGCTAAAAAAGTAACAAGTAAGTTTTTCACATATGCTTACTGCCTTAGTAGGTATTTTTATTTATGGAAAAGACATTACTCCCGATGGTCCTGAACAGGATAATGGGAAAACTATTTAAACTATTTCATGGTCATCGGTCCTCAATAATGCTATGTGCTATTGATGAAATAAAATCACAATTACATATTATAAAACATATGATTTATAAATCATATGATCACACCTGTGATTGATTTACAAGAGACTCGCGAAAGGTCTAAATTCTTAATAAAACCAATTATGATTTAAAAGTAACGATAATTTCCATGTCTACTATCTGCTAAGTTTCAGTTTAATTCAACATTTTGAATCGAATTAAACTAACTCTCATCGGGATCAGCGGGACTCCTTGCAATACCTACAACACAAAGTCTTGCACCAACTGACCGACTGACGCTACTCTACTTTCCAGAACCCGGGAGTCATCGAATATTAAATAATTAAGTCAGTGCTGCCAATTGTCAAAGCTCGAAAAACATTATCATAATGAGTTTGCCCGTAGTAATATTATGTACTGTAAATAAAATATTTAATATAAACAATATAATTTACGCAGCGTCTTGAAGCAAACCCTATGCCTGTCTGGCCAGCGTGGTATAGTAGTCCAAAACTTCATTTCTATGGAGAGGTTTATGTCCAGCAATGTCCAAAATAACAAATCGCTTATATTCAATAATCAAAATTTGCTCAGGAACTAAATGTATGAAAATTTATGTTTTCTTTTTTTTAACAGAGGTCAACGAAAATGTCGTGACATTCATCGTCAAGGCGAGGGTGTAAAATTCTTTTATTACAGTATTTATGCCTGGGGTACTCCTTTACTAATAACATTGTTGGTTATCATCGTTGAAAAGCAAGAGCTATATAGTGATAGTAAATATGAACCTCCTTTTTCCAACTGTTTTGCAGATGGTTAGTAACCCTAAACTACTTAGTTTGTTGTGTAATTATAACAAAGTTATAAAATATTTTTATTCTAGAATATTTAAATTACATAAAACTGTGAGTGCGCGCGGGGGTGACTTTTATCACGGTGACAAAAAAGTTTTGTCACTGTCACGTCACGACTCCAAAGTGGAGTACGCTCACCAAGAGTGACAGTAACAAAACTTTTTTTAAATTTAAGAGCCTATCCGCACAGTGATATTTCATCGCGAGGTTTTTACTCTCGGGTATCATATTCTATCCAATACAGACGTATCAAAAGATGTCACGAACATTGAATTCAGAAAAAACATTTCGTGGATCTCAATGCCCTAAAACCTATATAGGGCATTGAGATCGGAGTGCGGATAGTCCTATATAGATCCTATGTGTCACAGAGTTTTGCGAAAAAAACGTAGGGTGAAATATCGCTGTGCGGACGGGCCCCTAATGTCAATAGTCGCAATGAAATGGTTGTTTTCACAATGACAGATGTCATGTCGCAACATGCGCGCACCTTCATATGAATTCACAGTCCAGACTAGAGTTACAAAACAGTCACGGTGACATAACTGACCCGTGCGCTCATGCCCTTACTACCTACTATGTTACAGGGTTCTCAAGTCGACTCTATATGCTTCTGCCTATTGGAATAATGACTTTAATCAACTGTGTCCTCTTTTCGATGACTGTTTACAATATATGGCTGATCAAACGCAATGTTGTTAGCAATAACGAGTCAAGGAACACTAAGAAGCAACAAAACAGGTGATAATTAAATATAATAATAACCTCATACTTCTCACACTTCTCAGCCATCTGATTCTGATCCTAAATTAAGCGGAGCCTGTACTTTAATAAACTATGCTGCTGATGAGTATACTTACTCGTATATAATTCTAATTACATACATCTTATAGCTAAATTACAGCTCGACAAAACAAATGATCGTGCTTATCACACAATATTTGTCCTGGTTGAGACGATTCTCGATAGAGGCTGTAGGTACGATTACCCACAGCCTCTATCTTAGCAGTCTGGATCACACTCTGTTTGGCGGGCGGTCTATTCACTAAACCAACAGGTCCGCCAAACTAAGTGATCATTCATTATCATAATTATCTTGCCCATTTCCAAAGTTTATTTGGAGTCCTATCCTAGTGGCTTCTCCACTTACAGGACATAATTATCCCTAGCCTTTTCGACCTACTGCAGTCTCAGTTTTAGTTCCCATTCAAGACTGGTTTTCCTACCCCATATAATAGCTCCGTCGCTTTACCCACTTACCCCAAATTAACTTCTTACTTTGCCTGAAAAAACCCAAAGACGATTGGGGTCATGCAACCGGAATTATCAAGAACTATCCTAATCCCTTTGCAATGTTACACATTTCGCCGACATAAAATGAAAGTCAGCATAAATAATCATAAAAATGAAATTGGAAATGGTGATGATACGAATCATTTCAACTAAATAAATTATAATTTTTAACCGATTCTAATAGAAGTGAGAAGTTTTAAAATCTGCCAATTCATTTTTTGTTTATTACTTCAGAACTTACTCATTTATAACCGGATTTGGAAAATTCTTTTTTATCATTCTATTAAAATTTCAAAACTTCCAAAACACAAAAGAGGAGGTTATAAATATCGTCTGTATTTTTTTTTTGTATGTTATCATTGATATCTCCGTCAATTGTTAACCGATTTTCAAAATTATTTTTCTAATCGAAAGGGTATGCTCCCGGGATGGTTCCATTACCACCAAATTAGGATCTGATGGTGGGATATCCTAGAGAAATCGAAGGAAGCCCTCAAATGTTACAGCCCCGACAACGTGTTTTAGCTTATTTCTCTAGCTTCATAAGTATTTGCGTTTAGTAGTCGTTATGTTATGTTGCTGAGCTGATGATGGAAGGGACCTTGACCTTTAGGAGTTAGAGGATAACTCTTTTATTTATTGACCTTGTTTCTTTCTTTCAAGATATTTGTAAGGTGTGTGTGTGTAAATATTTACCTACGACTCGACCTGCTAGGACTCTACCATGATTTGCTATCATTTTAATTACAGATTTGTGATATACATCAAATTATTTATATTAATGGGTGTCAGTTTTACGCTCGAACAATTCCCGATGGCCGGTTTGGTGTGCTACATTCTTCTAAATTCTATGATAGTACTCTCTGGAGTTTTCATGTTCTACATGTTCGTGTGTAAGAAAAACATTATTCTAATGCTGTGTAAAAGGTAAGTAAACATCATCTATGTTACAGTCAAAAGGACTCGGCCTTAGTTTGAAAAACTTTCAGTGATTTATGATGCAATCCATAAACGGACACATTACGTTACGAGTCTGAGGTATTAGGTTTCTATTAAAATTTTTATTGCCAAGACAAAAACATAGCAAAATTTTAGTCTACTTACAGTTTGAACTTCAAAAGGTCTCTGACTAAGTTCTGCTCAAAGGTGGATTCAGTAAAATCAAATGCCATACATGTGGCACAGTTTGAGTAACCTTAAATGGTACAGCATAATGCTTTTAATGTTTTTTTAATTTCATTAATTTCATGGAGTATTTATTTTAATTGTTGTTCGCCGTCATGCAATACTTCTTTTTCGTTGCAGATTTAACATACAAAACAGGTTCGTGGACCGACACCGCCCATCTAATTATTCTTGTGTGGAATCTAGTAAATGCAGTCAGATTAAAAGTCGCTACTCTCAGAAATCCTCCGTAAAAAGCGTGGAATCAAGTACTTTGACGACAGAAATATAAATACCATAAATAAATTATTCAACAAAACGGTTATAGATTTTTAAGGAGGTTTAGTGGGAGTTTATTTCACATCAACTCTATCGTAACGGTGACCGTAACCGGCGTTCGGCGTCGCAATTGGTGAACATTTCAGAGGGCCAACAGATCTTGTAGTTGTGGAATAAACTCGCAGTACTGAACTTTTTTTAATTGTTAAATTTATGGTTTTATACAATTGTCCAGTGTGCTTAATTTATTTTTGTATAGACTTAAGCTAGCCTTTTGCACAAACTTGAATCCATGTAGCTTCTTGAAGCCGATTTTACATTGTGTGAACGGTTTTGTAAAACCTAAACAATGTAGTGCTTTATACTATTACTTACTAATTAGTTATTAAGTGTTGTAATGCGACTTATTTAATTAGTGTTTTATATTCAACACATCCAAGAAAACTCTAAGGTGGACTTCTGACCTCTGGATATATTATACCTACATGTTGAACAACATAATAAATATCTGACACATAACGCCATCTAGTTTTATTCTAAGCAGGGCTTGTACTATGAAAGATAGATTGACTGATAGAATATTTATATACTTTTTTTTAATGCTTACATGTTATATATAGAAAACATCCAAACTTCGAAACAAATGTTTGCAGACCATACAAACAAGTAACAATAATAAATTAAAATTTAATTCAATAGTAATAAGCTTGTTAATTAATTTTTAGCTGTTTTATTTATATTCCATTTATTGTTAAACTCGCATAGACGTTCTTCTATTTTTAGTTTCATATAGTGTTATTTTATTATGCATAATGTGACGCCTGAAAAGGTTGTAAATTAATTTCAATGCAATGCTTTAGATTTTAGTAAATAATTTAACAACTACTGGTTGTCCAATAAATAAATAACTAAATAATACTGCAACACAGACTGAAACTTGATTTCCTTGTATTACCGGTTGTTGGGAATTTCCACATGTTTATTATTTGTTTTTTCGGATTATACCGATGAAACAAAATAATTCTCATTAAAAGGAAAATCATGGTACCACTAGTAGGTATATATCACTATATATATATATATATATATCACTAGTATATAGTGACAGTTATCAGAATCATATTTATTTACAAAACTATTGTGACAAATGGTGATACAATGGGGAGTATTTAAGATACAAATATTTTAACCAGAATTGTAGCATCACAATCATTATTAGGCAAAAAAAACAAATAATTAAATACGGTCATACGGTTAAAAAAAAACAATAGTAATAGTTACAAGCGTAGTTAATTATAGAATAAAAATAGTAAGTCAATAAATTGTCGAAAAAGTCGTAAAAGTCGACTAAGGGAGAAAACTACGCAAGACAACACTGCAAAGAGAAGGAAAACTTTAAGTAAGTATGTAATCTTTATTGTAGATCATAGGTACATTATATAGATGATATAGTTATCGGTATTTAGTCCGGCTATATCCCGCCCGTTGGGCATACAACTTGAAACAAACCCTTTTTTTTTTTTAAGTGTGGAAATCCCCTCGGACCGCGGTAAAACAACTGTCGCTACCGGCCATGGAGCGTACTACGGCCGGTAGCGAGAGATCCACTCCGATGACTGCAGTGAGGGCCCTGCGCTGCGTCGCTCATGCTGGGCAGACCGCCAGCGTGTGCTGGGCCGAGTCCTCACTGCAGTCGCAGTGGTGGCAGGCGGGACTCAATTCCCTCCTGGCGACCAAGTGCAGGTACTTTCCGAAGCAACCGTGCCCGGAAAGCACCTGCGTCAGCCGGAAGGAAAGGGTCCCATGTTGCCGCCCTGCCCACTCGGCGATGACCGGCTGGAGAGCCTCCACGGCGGCGAAGCCAGCGCGTGGAGTCTCCAGTCGGAACAACCATCTGACCATGGTGGCTCGGCGAGCGGCGGGTGAGGGACCTCCGGGTACGTACACGGGCCGCACGGAGGTCCGCCAACCCCTGAGACCACCAGTAGACCTCTTTCATTGGAGGCCGACAACCACGAACGCGGGGTATGGCCGCATCGCAAATCTGCGTAATCGCATCGCGGAAGCGACCAGCCCCAGACATACGCTGCGGCAGGTTATACAGAAGACCGAGGAGTTTAATCGGCCACTATGCTTGGCGTTTGTGGACTATGAGAAAGCCTTCGATTCGATCAAAACTTGGGCAGTCTTTACGTCTCTCCAGCGGAGCCGTATTAATTATCGGTACATCGAGGTATTGAAGTGTTTGTATAATAACGCCAATATGTCAGTTCGAGTCCAGGACCAACACACGAAGGCAATTCCATTACAGAGAGGGGTAAGACAGGGAGACTTTATTTCTCCGAAACTGTTTACCGCTGCTCTGGAAGATGCCTTCAAGCAACTGGAATGGAAAGCACTTGGCATCAACATCAATGGCGAATACATCACTCATCTACGATTTGCCGACGACATAGTATAGTTAAACCGCCGTAAGCTTGGCCCTCCTGATGGTTTGCGCGACGCGGGGCGGGTGATGCGCTCGGCTATACATGGCACGATGTACTAACTCGATATCTTCAGATTTACTTGTTTGAGATTTAATCTACACACGATGTAATAAAATTCGAATATATTTCCATATATTATAATGTCAGTGTATTGAAAGTTTTTATGATTAATTGTAAAATTTAATACTGTAAAATAATTTTAATAAAATCACCTTATCTTCATCATGTAAATTATATTCAGATACAATTTTAAAAATTAAGTAAAATAATAAATATTCTTTCCCCAAACCCCCCAAAAAAAAAAAGGGGGGGGGCCCAAAAAAAATTAAAAAAACCAAAAAAAAAAAAAAAAAAGGTTAAAAAAAAAAACCAAATTAAAAAAAAAAAAAAAAAAAATTTTTTTTTAAAAAATTTTTTAAAAAAATTTTTAAAAATTTTTTTTTTTTTAAAAATTTTTTTTTTTTTTTTAAAAAAAATTAAAAAAAAAAAAAAACCCCCCCCAAAAAAAAAAACCCCCAAAAAAAAAAAAAAAAAAAAAAAAAGAAAAAACCCCCAAAAAAAATTTTAAAAAAAATTTTTTTAAAAACCTTTTTTTTTTTTTTTTTTTAAAAAACCAAAAAAGGGTTTGGGCCCCCCCTTTTTAAAAAAAAAAAAAATTTTTTTTTTTTAAAAAAAAAAAATTTTAAAATTTTTTTTTGGGGTTTTGGGGGGGATCGGGGAAAATTTAAGTCTTTTAAAAAACAAAAAACAAAACGGTTTTGGGGTATCGGGGGGGCCTCGGAATGAGAACTTCCTCACCTTGAATTTTCCTTCAGTATCGTCGCGTAAATTACATTGTTCATCAACTTTTCTAACCACCAAACGCGTACCGTTGCACAGTTTGGTTGGTTTATGTTTCGAAGCATGATTACTATGGAGCCAACCTTTAGGCGTAAATTGTGCGGTGGTAAGCCAGGCACATCCAAGGAGTTTAAAAATTCAATTGGATAGTGGTGGCTTCATCTTCATTCTGTGACGCAGTCAATTAGATTTTAAATGAATGCATTGTTCAAATGATCTTATTTTGAATTATATAGTTCATGGTCGTCTACATCTTTATTCTCAGCCGCTAAAATTGCTCGCTCACTCAACTTTGATTTGAGGCAAGCCGCATTTATTTCGTCGGCAGCCGTAGATCTTGGAATTACTGGCATTGTTTGGCGGAAATCGCCAGACAGTAAAATCATTGCTGCTCCAAAAACATCTCGAGTCATTTCCGTAAATCTTTCAATGTTCGGTTAAGTGCTTCTAATGCACGTTTATGCGCCATTGTGCATTCGTCCCAGATTGATGAGTTTCGATGCCGAATCAAAACTTTGGCATTGCTAGAATTTTTCGTAATATTACACGTTGGTCCTTCAATAGTTGAAGATTTAACGGTAATTTAATGCTGAATGAGCCGTACGGCATCCTTCTAACAATGTGGCTGCTATTCCAGAAGAAGCAACTGCAACCGCTATGTTGGATCTTGCAGTGGCTAAACTACTGACATGAGGAATGTCTTACCATGTTCCACCAGGGGCATCTCAGGAAATATAAACCCCCATTTTCATCATCCGATTGCTTCATTGAATTATCATAAACTTCATTTTTTTTTGGGAATTCAACAGGTTGGTACATCGTTTGAACTACTAAATCTAATTCCTGGTGATCATATTCACGTCCCCTTTCCAATTCTCGATATAAATGCGTCATTCATTTCACGATTTGGCGGTCGGTATCATTTCCTAACCTGATTTAATAAACTACCGCACATGAGGGTAACACATATCTTCCATCAAGGAGTAAAGCACGATTTATGTATCATTCATCTCAACATCGTGATTTTCTGGAAGTGATACGAATTGATGTAAAATATCTTCTGACATATTATCCTTATATTTGTGCCACAGGTTACATTTGTTTTGGAAAGGGTTTGATGGAAAAGCAGGTCGAAATTATGATAGCGCATAATGTGCGTATCTGACTTGGAGATGCAGAGATAATGGCTTCAGCGATTGTCGTATCCCAATGGGTATCGTTTTCTAATAAGTTCAGTTCTTCACATGCAGCACGATATGTTGGGAATATTACACCATTAACAGTCAGTGGATGAACTGTATACCTACGACCAAGAGCATCAGTAGAACGCACATCCGGATACCCAGGAACCGCATCGCCTTGCTTCCGTTCTTTAAAAATTATTCGATGAAGCATTCCAAGTATAATAACGTGGCATCTCCGAGTAAGCAAAGTTCCATGCAAAACATTGTTTTTTTTTTTTTTTTTTTTTTTTCATAATAAATAGTATCCTTATGTCCGTCTCCTGGCTCTAAGCTAACCTCCTCACCAATTTTCAGCCATATCGGTAAGCCGTTCTTGAGTTTATAAACTCAAACTTCTTTATTTCATAAAATTTTCCAAAATTGTTTGAAATCTTCTTCCATGTAGACTCTAAAGTCATAGATCAACACACACAAAAGCAACAATCGTCTGTTTTGTCAAA